GTAGATAAAATATAAAACCTCCATGTCGGACTGTTTAAACTAAACCTGTTTAAATGTCTTTACGCGGCAAGAAAGTGACCAAACTCCTAATTTACCTCTTAAATCTCAATTCCAATCACCAACAGACAAACTTTTTTTTAAAAAAGAACCTTTCAAACATCTATAATATGTAGTTAGTGTAAGGATCCCTGATATAATTATATATGTGTGTGTATATATATATATAGATAGATAGATGGATAAACTAAACCTGTCAAACATGCATTTATCTGTCTTTACGAGAAAACTCTCCAAAATACAAAACAGTAATAATAAAAGACACAAAACATGGATTAGAAATAACTGATGATGAGTTCAGTCACCAGCAGACGTCTTTTTAACACATTTTAATTTATGCAGATTGATATTTTAAGATTTGTGAAGTATTTACCAGTTAATGATGTTCAGGGATTCGTATTAAGTTTTTAAATATTTATTGCATTTAATCCAGAATAATCCTGATAATTTAATGGATTTTACGGACTTTTCATTACGGTTTAAGGACCAAATATAGCAGCACAGGTGTGGCCACAGGATGCCAGTTTTTCAATTAGCGTACAAATTTGCAATGTGTCAATACATTTTTAAAGATTTGTTAGCTGCTGTTAGTAATTTTTTTAAAATGTAAGATATAAGAATGATGGCAGCAGTCCCTTCATTTCAGATTATTTTACACACCAACCAGCTGGAGCCACGAGATCAGAGTTATTCCATTAAAAAATATATCGTTTGTAATAGAATAAATAATTCAATCTCAACGGGGAAAAAAAAACAACCTTGAAACTTCCGGCATACAGCGGTGGATTAAAATGCATTTTTCACATTTTGTTTGCTTATTTTCCTCAACCCAGAAAACGGCAGGTTTATAGTGAACATTTAACTGGTTTACAGCCGTCTGCACATCCTCACACTGACAGTCAGCTGATTTCTAAAAGTCTTGACGGGTTTTAAAGTTGTTTAAAAGCTGCTTTAAATTGAAAAGAAACTCTTCAGCTTGAGTCTGAATCCAAATGAAGGCCCCTTCAAGATATAAACTAATGAATGTCTTTCATGTTATTAAAATCACCGTTAATTACCAAAGATCCAGCCTGAACCGCTCCACTCACTGAGATGAACCTGTGACGTCCTCATCGCTGCTCAATTAGTGTCACTTTGAGGTAAAAGTCTGAGTTTATTTTACAGAAAACTGTAAAAACCAGACTGTGCAGACAGCAGATCTGGGCCCCGCTGTGTGTTTTTAAAGATACTGTTACTGTCTTATTAAGGTGGAAATCGATGCCAACCTCGCAGAGCCCCCATTTATATCCACCGCCCTCCTCCTCGCGTGCTCCCAGCATGCCTTGCTTCGGCGGCGGCAGAAGAACAAGGAGCCGGGCTGCGGGTATACTCTGCCGAGGTTATCCCCTGGTTAATGTGACATGTCTGTCTGCGACCTTGCCGCTTGTTAACTGCCCGGATTATTATTGTGATAATGTGGCAATTAAAAAGGAGGCGCTCCATCAGAGGGTGGGGGAGGGGCGCTGATGGTCCCGCAGATGGATGTGCACAGATTACAAGGCAGTGGGAAATGCATTAAGGTGGCAATCCATTCTGAACCCCCCCACCGTCCTCCTCCAGAGCTGCCAGTTATTGCCACCCGCTCCCATTGATATCCATTCCCAATCAATACTCCTCAGCTGCCGAACGAATCGGCGTAAATCAGCGAGCGGGGAGGAAAAATCAAAAAGGCGGCTCCTAATGAGACGCCATAAGTCTGCGCCAAGTGTCGACCGTCTTTATCGAGACGCCACCGCGGAAAAGATCATTTCGTGCGAGATAAAGAGGCGAGATGTGACCCGACACGGAAACGCCAAGACGCTCATCGGCATGTGGACCAGCGCCGGGCCTCGACGTGTCCTCTGAGATCACATGATCCAGCAGAAGACAAAGGATGTTTTATCGTAGTTTATTTAACAAGTTTTCTTACACGGAAGTAGCAGTGATAAAAGTACGCACTGTAAAACATTTAAAACAGCTTTAACTGCATCTTTTGGAACAATTTAGTCTCATTTTTGACCATTTAAATGACAGAAAGACAAGTGTTGATTTCTACCTTAACTGTTAAAAAAAAAAAAAAAAGGGCCAAAAAACCTGAACATCAGAAATCTGTATTTGGGAAAATAGCTACTCAATCTTTTACATTTTACCAGGAGCAGTTTTCTTTGTGTTATAATGATATGACATATGTGCCGCTATGTAGAAGAAAGATTATGTTATTATGAAGGACAGACAAATGGGAATATAAATATAATATAAATAACTTACTTTTGTTAAAATGAAGATATCTGGTAAAATCAAAGGAAAAAGTGTAAATTTGTGTTATCTGAAAAGAGAAGAAGAAAAAACATCGTTAACATGCAAATTCATACGTTTTGTTCTTTGATTTTACTTGTTCGTACTTTAACAAAAATTGGGAAATTAGCACTAAACTGTTGAAAAATTACAGTTAGAAAAAAAGTTTTAATAGTTCATTTCTCCGTTTTTGCTAAATCACTGAAAGAAGTGTGAATTTCCATGTTAACTATAAAAAAACATTAAGACACCCCAAAAGTTTTAGATAAAATCCACATCAAAACTCACAAAGTTTCACTTTATTTAAATTTGTAAAAACATGATTATCTAACAGAAATTGAAGTCATTTTTTGCAGAATGTGTATTTATTTTGTGTTATATTTTTTGTGTTATTTTCATATAATAATAATAATAATAATAATAATTCATTTTATTTGTATAGCGCTTTTCAAGAACTCAAAGATGCTTCACAGGATAAAAGCAAAGAAATAAAAGCATTAAACAACAAGCAATAAATACAAAGGTTGACAATAAAGAAATACAGCAAGCAGGTGAAAAAATAAAATATAAAAAACAAAAAAACAGTAAATATCGAAATAAAGCTGAGGCCTAGGTGGGAAAAGCAGAGCGGAACAGATGAGTTTTTAGTTTACATTTGAATATTGCTGAGTCTGAGGTGTCTCGTATATGTTGTGGGAGGGAGTTCCAGAGGGTGGGGGCGGCGACAGAAAAGGCCCTGTCCCCCCAGGTTCGGTGCTTGGTCCTGGGAAGATATTAGTACTTTATATTTTATTATATATTTTTACTTCCTACTTCTTGAAGACTTTTGACTGGGAGCATCTACAACTGAAAGCAGTTTCCCCTCAAAGGGATCAAAAAAGTATTTCTGATTCTGAAACATGCTCTTATTTTGAAAGAAAAGTGAAGCATATGAAGAGTTTAAAAATGTTTTTTCGACCGATTTTACAGACGTTTTCTAGTTAATATCTCGTGAAACCACAGAATGTGAGTGTGCTTGGTTGTCTGTCTCTAAGTGTAGCCCTGTGATAGACTGGTTACCTGTCCAGGTGAACCTGCCTTCACCCTGAGTCAGCTGGGATAGGCTCCAGCCCCCCACGACCCTGAGGTGTTGAGATGATGGATGGATGTTTCTCTTTGTGGTCATTAAACAGGACTTTTTGTTTGTTGTGGTCATATTGTCATAGTGGGCGGCTGTGGAGCAGGTTGTCCACTGATTGTGAGGTTGGTGGTTCACTTCCCGGCCCCTCTACAGTCCAAGTGTCCTTGGGCAAGACACTGGACCTGAAGCTGCTCCTGATGGCCGGCAGCACCTTGTATGGCAGCTCTGTCGCCGTTGGTGTATGAATGTGTGTGAATATAGATGCAGACCATTTAAATCATCACTGCTTCTGCTAGATTTAGTAAATATTTCTCTTAACGTGGAAATGTGTTCATATGTTTTATTTATATGTTTATGATGCACATGGACGTGTTTCTCTTCCTGTCTTCAGCTGAACAGTTTATTTAACGACAGAACTTGTTTTTATTCCAGCAGCGTCGTGTTGTTGAAGCCTCTGGTGTTAAACGAGCGTCCTGTGAAGTCAGACTGGCTTCATTTATCTTCACTGTTCTCTTCTGAATTCTTTAGTTCTGGTTTAATCAGATTGACACAAAGCATTCCTCCAGACTGATCCGTTCGTCTGCTCTGTTTTTTCCTTCCAGATTCTTCCTGAAGTTCTTCCTCAAGTGCAATCAGAACTGTTTGAAAAATGCAGGAAATCCGCGAGACATGAGGCGGTTCCAGGTGAGTGTCAGGCAGCAGGTGCCTTTGATCCAAAAAGAGTTCAGTTTGAAACCAACCAGAGCGCCGTGTGTTTGGACCACAGGTGGTGGTTTCCACTACGGTCAACGTGGACGGTCACGTCTTGGCCGTTTCAGACAACATGTTCGTCCACAACAACTCCAAACATGGCCGCCGCGCCCGACGCCTGGACCCCTCTGAAGGTAAGACGTCGCTCAGAGACGCCGAAGGAGCATCATCACATTATCGTTTCTTCTCTGACCATCTTTAACCTTTAACCTTTATTTAACCAGGCAAAGACATTAAGAACAAGATTCTTGTTTACAATGGCAGCCTGGCAAGTGCCACAGGCAGCTGTAGGGCGAGTGGGGGAACACAAATAAAATAAACAAAATTAAAACAATTAAAAAACCTGCCTGAAAATCTTTAAACAGTCGGTATTCACGAGTAGAACTGTGACATTTTAGACTGAGAATTATTTATTCTGTCTTTAACCGCTCGCTGATCCACTTCCACAAGTTTGTTTCTGTTTGAACGACAACATGTGAGGAACTATTCCAGATAAACACCTGGTGTTTCTCATCGTGTATGTTGGACAAGTAGATCAAATACTCTGTGATTGTAGCTGAGTGGAAAAACGAAAAGAAAAGAAGAAGCTGTCATGTAAAGCTCATGATAACAAACAAATCGATGACTAGTGATAACTACAGCTGGTGTGTTCTGAACCAAACGGAGCTGCAGGTCGCAGTAATGCAAAACTAAACATGTAGAAGGCTTTTAATGTGAAACACTTGGTAAGTATTTTTGATTCAAGTTTTACAAACAACTGAGCAAGTTGTAGCACAAAAACGACAATAATGTATAAATATAATAATACATTTTATTTGTATATCTCTTTTTAAGAACAGAATTCCCAAAGTGCTTTAACATAACAAAGAAATACAGCACACAGAGACAAGGTAACACAGGTAAACAACACGTATAAAAAGTGCAGGCAAACACTCAAAATATAAAAATACACACAATAAAAATGAAAAAGAACAAGTTGGGTCACTCCTGAAGGTGTATTATAATAAAACTAGTAAAACTGATTGAAAAGACGACATCACAGAGGGGAATTAGGATAAAAGCTGAAGATAAACATAAATTAAAAAAAGAGAAAAGAGAGCAGGGCAGCAGGCAGTACTGATATAAGAAGGGAAAAGAAACGGGCGAAAATATAAAAGAGAAATAAAAGAGAACATCACTCAAAAGGGAGTCTATAAGAAGTGATTTAAAATATTAGTCGATAGTCTGATCCAGGTAGAGCAGGGTTCTGGAGGAAGTGGTTCTGTAAACATATCTAAGAAAATAAAATGTTAATACAGCACAAAGTGTCAGTGACTTCAGACGTCATGAATTCTATACAACTAATTGTAAAATGAAATGCTGGCACTGTGAACCAGTTCCTATCAATATACATCTACGACACTTTAGCTTCCTGTGTTTTAAATATCCAGAGTTTGTGATTAAAAAGTTTCGAACTAGTTGGAGCAGAAGGAAGCCGATTATTTGAAATGGAAGGACTCAGATCTCAACACTGAATGTAATGAGTGTAAAAACAGACAAGAGTTGAACCAAAACAAGGACAAAAACTTCAGGATGCGTCCGATGATTGTTGGTTTTCATAGAAGTTAAACTGCACATTGGTGCTCCGTCCTTTAACATCGATTTAAACTCATTTAAAACTGTTGGTTCATTTGCAGTTTCATGCATTTAGAATAGAACCTCCTTATTGTTCCAGTGTTTGTGAAGTCTGTGGACATGTTGGCGCTGGGTTTTGAGTTTGTTTTTTTTTAAATTCTGAACGTAATGTATAATGTTCTCCGATCTGTGTCGAACTGACGGGAGACATCTCTGGTTGTTCTGTTTCCGTCGAGCTGCGAGACTTTAGATTTGCAGTGAAAAATGAGCCACAGTGAAGAAAAAAGCTGCTCCGGCGAAGTCGGCTTCAGTTACAGGTTTAACAAGAGACAAAGGAAAAATGAACGTGAGTGAAGCCAGAAGACGCTCTGCGGTGAGGAAAGAGTAAAACATGCTGGACGTCCTGTTCTTTCTAGACGGTGGCGGCGAACAAACGCTCCGTTCTTCCAGCGACCAAATAAAATGCATCATCCTGCGTATAAACTTCACACGGTGAAACTCGACGCTGAGAGCCGGAGCTCAGCGGCAACATTTCCTCTGAAGTTGTAAACTTTAATGCCACTTTGCCCTGTCCCTGCTCTAATAAAACCCTCCCGCCTCACCGCGCCGCTTCTAGGAGCCATGACATAAGGCTCTCGCTTGATTCGACCTAGTTGGAGTGCCAGGAGGGCGGAGCTAAGCCTTCCAGTAGCACGTTTTACTGACAAACATATCACAGCTAAGTGGTGTGATAGCTCTCTGATGTGCTCCACTGCAAGAGAGTAAAACAAACACACATAGTTAGCCAAAAAAAACTCCACTCAGGTGTAAACAGACCAGTCTGAAGAGTTTATTTTGTCCACCTTGGAGCACCAGGTGGGTGGGTTTTATGGCTTCAGTTACCACCAGGTAAAGCTAAACACTTCTTCATGCACATTCTTCTGTCCTGTTTGGCACACTCCACCCGTCTGTCACTCCCAGGACAATAAAACGAACCTGAAATGTACTTTAAACACTGTTAAACACCGGCGAGTGCATGTATGTTCCGCTCTCGTCCAGTAAACCTTCCACTCCGCCGTCTCCCTCGACTCGATTAAAGGTTTGACGCGTTTCCAGGAGAGATGGTGTCACTGCTTCACTTGTTTTAACCTCCTCTGGACACCAGACAAGTGGGGCTTAGCCTACTGGGGCAACAGAAAGCAGAAGGTGGCCAAGTCCACCACAGAAAAGTAGACTCGAGTGGCTTTCAGAAACTTCTGTCCTTGTGGCATTCGTCAGTTACTGTGGCCAAGGTAAACTCCACCCATCTGGGACATGCAAGGGAATAAAACAAACTCCTGAAACAATACGCCACCAGTCAGACATCAAAAATGCTTCTTAACCACATTGCTCTGACTTGTTTTAAAGTTTGAGGCGTTTCCAGGAGAGATGGTTCACTTGTTTTAGCCTACTTACAACACCAGACGGGTGGAGCTGTATATCTCAAGGCACTTGATAAAATCTTAGAAGCAAAAGAATACCAAGTTGGGACGTTCAGTGGACTAAAACAAACAGTTTACCACGAGTTAGACTCCAGAAACACGTCATGTTCTCCCTCTTTCACTCCCCACAAGATTCCCTCTGCAGTTTAGTTGGACTTGTGAGTTTGAGGCCTTTCCAGGAGACGTGATGTTCTTGGTTCACTTGTTTCCGCCTCCTTGGAATACTGCTTCAGATTACCTGATAAAATCTTAGCAGAAAAGTGAAAAAAGAACAAAGAAGTTTCTTTCGTTCACTCTTGCCTGACTTCTCAATGAGCCTGCTTAACCAAACACCACCCATCTGGGACATACAGTAGGGCGAATCAAACTGTTCATCAACTTGCCACCAGTCAGACATCAAAAATACTCCCAAACCACGTTGCTCTAAAGTCTCCCTCAACTTGTTTTAAAGTTTGAGGCTTTTCCAGGCGAGATGGTTCACTTGTTTCAACCTAACTGGAGCACCAGATGGGTGGAGCTTACCATTTCAGGGCACCTGATAAAATCTCAGCCACTTCCACACACATTAATCTGGCCTTCAGACATTTTAGTCATTTTAGCAAAAACTCCACCCCTCTGGGACGTACAGTGGATTCAAACAAACCTTTATGCCGTTAGACATCAGAAACACTCTCCAACCACATCGCTTTGAAGTTTCCTTCAGCTTGTTTTAAAGTTTTAGGCTTTTTCAGGAGAGATGCTTCACTTCTTGTAACCTACTTGGAGCGCCGTACGGGTGGGGCTTATCATTTCAGGGCACATGATAAAACCTCAGCAGCAAGAACTACAAAACTGTAGCTTCCACTTCTTGTATAATTTTGTAGACATCTGACATTTTAGTCTAACTCCACCCCTGTGGGCTGTGAAACAGAGTAAAACAAACACCTAAAACAGTTGCCACCAGTCAGACTCGGCGTCCTCCCTGTTTCCCTCCCCAGATGACTCGCACTGCAGCTTTCCTTCGACTAAATTTGAGGTGTTCTCTCCCGGCCGGCGCTGCTGCTGATGTAATCGTCTCGTTTGGTTTAACCTACTTGCAGCACCAGATGGGTGGTGTTCATCACACCGCGGGCGCCTCATGTGAGATAAGGTAGTTGATCAAAGACAAAGCTGCCCTCCTGTGGTCATCCAAACTTTCTGCTTGTCCTGTGTGACAAACAAACCCACCCGTCTGGCACGTCCTGAGATGCAAAACAAACGCTGCTTGACACTAATCTGTCAGATGTTCTGTGAAAACACCTCCAGACGTTCAGGAAACTTTTATCAAATCAGGTCGAACCAGAGCTCAGAGGGCATCGCACAGTGTCCTGGAGGGGCCAAAGGGGCCCAATGGTGGGCCGGCGGCCCCCGAGCGGGGCCGCGGAGTCTTTCATCTCCTACAGACGGGGATGTTTTCAGAGGCGATAAAAGCCTCAACATCTGCTCCCGCCTTTGTCCGCGGCCCTCGGCGATAAAACTTTCCGCCGCCTGCTCCTCGTCTTTGTGCTCTATTCATTTGATCAGAGCGTCTCCAGCCGCCCCTCAGACCCGCTGGACTGTTTGTTTACCGCCGCGACAAAAGGAGAAAATTAATAAGGAAATGACAATCGAGTGGTCGACCCTCGGCAGCAGCTGCAGGGTTCAGGGAGGCCGCGTCGACGACTCGCTTTCATCTGGAAACTCTGAGTGACTTTCACAAGTTGATCCTGCAGCCGAGGACCCTGAAGTCTGCGGCTTGAATGAGTCGCTTTAAATATCAGTTCAGTGTTTGTGCTCAGGTCCTGATGAATGTTCTCTCCTGTAGCAGCAAGTTACTGACTTATCTGTAGAAATAAAGCCACTTATGTCTAAACGAATTTGCTAAATTCAGGATATTAATGCATGAAATTGCCAAAAAAACAACTGGATATCAGACGGTAAAGTGTCAAAACCTGGATGTAGACGCTTTGAAACATCACAAACCTGAATGTTGATGCATCAAGAGTCAAAAACACACCAGTATTCTGGATATTAGTAGTTTTACTTTACAAACTGAAACATGCTCCTCTATGGAAACAGGACCAGCATAAGAAAGGAGAAACAACTCAGAAATGTCTCCTGTCAGTTTGACAAAAGGTTGAATTTTTTTAGATTTCATTTGACAAACATTTAAAGAATGTGTCCAACATCTGTCCACAGATGTTACCAACACGGATCCTCCACAAGCGATACATGTTGAACTATTTGTAGTTTTTCAACCTCTACAACGTGTTTCCTTTCTGTTGTCCAGCGTCTCGTTTGTGTTGTTTGTCTTTATTGTGTCTTTTTGTGCTTGTTCTGTCTCATTTTTGTCATTTTTCTGCTCATTTTGTAGATGTTTTTGGACAATTGTGGATGTGCTTGTGTCATTTTGAGTCACTTTGAGCCTGAATGTTTACAACCTCTGCAGACTTTTCCCTCTTTACTCTGCACACCAGCTGGATGCTCTTCCAGCCTCCTCTCTGACTATAATCCGGACTGATAAAGGGTGTCGTTTTAGCATTTTTAAAAACATCCATTTTAAACTCACTGGTGGCTTTTGGACTTCAATGAGTTCATTTGTGTTTTATAATCTCAGTTTTTGTAAAACAAACTTTCACCAAAAGATACTGAAACTAAACTATTTGTCTATAAAGTTACCTCAGCTTTGGTTAATGTCTTGAAATGGGATAATAAAACCGTTAATCCATCTTGAAATCAGGCAAAATCTACAATATTTGTCATTAAATTCAGCTCAGTTTGAGTTCCTGTCTGTTACTATTGACAGCATTTTAGAAGATCCCAACAAAGGACAAAACTCGACGTTTGCGACTCCATTTACGTTTCGTGTGGAGATAAAATGTCTTAAAATGATCAAACTTATCTTCACACCGAGACATAAAATCTACCAGTTGTACTTTTTTATGTTAGTTGGGACTGAAAAATGACTGTAATCATAACTGATGGTGACAGGATCATTCATCTTTAGTGTGAAAAATACGATTTGATCATCCTGGAAAAAAAAAATATATTCTTGAGTTTTCTGTTGTAGTTTCAAAAAACGTCAGAATCGGGATGTTTTTCGTCCTTCGCGCGGTTTTAGCAAGCAATAATGGAATGAATAATGGATAAATAACAATTAAAATGACTTGTTTAAATGTGTATAATGGTTTTCTGAAGCCCCTCTCCTGCTTTTTCCATGAGCTGCCAGTAACTTGTAGTAGAAGGTCATTATTCCACTTACAGTGGAGAAATTTGTAAGCGGGATGTTTTAATAGTCTCTGAACGCAGCTTTATAGATCAGATCACATAGTAAACAAATGAAACTCAGAGCTCTGCCTGGAATATCAGATCGTCCTCCCAATAAAACGGCTCTCGGTCCGGGAAAAGGCTGTAAAGCCTCGTCACAGCTTGGAGTCCGACTGTCCGGACACCAGTCTAGTCATCGCGGAGACGCTGTTTATGTGGAGCCCCTTATTGATCCCTGTGGCCCTGGAAAAACCAATCATTTTGCATGTATTATTAGTGAATTACAGGCTGCTGGTGGACAGGAATCTGCCTTAAAGCTCTCTGCGGATGTCAGAAATGGAAAGGTTCTGTTACAGATCTGTTGTCCTGTTCTGTTTTAATAACGAGGAAGTTAGAGGTCAGGCTCGAATGTTTTAGGAGGACGGCTGTTTGCTCAGGCCATGACTACACTGGACAAAAAATATGCAAATAATGTTGTTAATACTGCAGAAAAATCATTTATTTTGCAAGCTTTGAGCAAAAATGGTGCAATTTTCCAGGAAGTAATCCCACTGATGCAGTTTGAACTGGACGCTTTAAGCTGTTAGCTAGGAATTGTCCACCTTTTAACTTCATCGTTAGCTAATCTGAACGTAATCTGGGTTGTTTAAATTATGAACTTTACCAGTTAGCTTAAGGTTTAGCTTCCAAATTTTGCTCCACAGATGTGAGCTGCTAAACTAAACCATTTGCTAACATGAACAAAGCTCTGTTAGCTTCCCTGAGTCCAACTGTTAGTGCTGCTAAACTGACTTTTTATTCAACTTTAGCTGTAAACCAAACCGTTCTAAACGAATCATTAGCTCCCCTGAACCAAACTGTTCAAAATATGAGTAAGTCTCATCTAATGTCAACCAGCTTATGTAGCTGCTCAACTAACCTGCATTCTAACTAGCTAGTGTTAATTATAGCTAACCAAAACTTTAGTTTTCAAATTGAACGCCGCTTATGTCAGCAAATGCTAGATGCTAAAATGAACACTGTTAAAACCCTGTTAGCTAACCTGAAAAAGTTTGTATTTTAGCTGCTAAGCCATGAAGCTAATAAATAAAACTGTTAGCTGCCTTGAACCACAAAGTTATCGATCTGAAACTGAACAGCTAATCTGAACCCGTTTGAAGTTTTCGTTGAATACCATAAGTGTTATTTAATCTCAACCAGACCTAAATTACTAAACTGGATGTTAGCTAACCTGGACTAAACTGTTAAAGCTCGTAACCAGTAGCTAATCTACAGCAAACAGTTTCAGCTTTCAAATTGAAATGTTAGTCAACATTGACAGCTAAATCTTTGTGAGCTAACTTAAGTAAAGCTTTTGACGCTGCTAATCCGATTGCTTCGTTCATATCATCGGTTTCTGTTTGAGATGCTGAACTGTAAAAAAAAAAATATTTAAAAAAATCTACGTATAGATAATTAAATTATCACTTGCTAATCTCTAAACTGCTTTATTGGCTAGCAGATCTGTTTTAATTGGTAATCTGGAGTAAACTCGTGGCTGTTAACATTTAAATAATTTGGTCCAGGTTAGCTGACAGCCAGTTTAGTGGATAAGGTTTATAAATAGCCGGTGAAAAAAAACAGATTTAGCATTCAAATTGAAATGTTAGCTAAGGTCAACAGCTAATCTGCACCACTGGAGTCAAACTGTTCAGGCTGCGAAACTGAACTGCTCGGAAATATTAAAAGTCTTTAAGTATTTGTTTTTCTGTTAAACGGTAACAAAAATGTTTTGTTTGCATCTTTCTTAACCATAAGCTAGTTTAAAATTGTTTTAGCTTGTGAATTATAGCTTGCTAACTTATAAACTGCTTTATTTGCTACACGAAACTTAGCAAACCTGAGGTAAACATATGGCTAACATCTACTGTTAGCTAATTTTAGCATGTATACTCAGCCATTTGCTAACAACAAACTGTTTTTTTTCCCCAATCAACGTAACCTGTGCTATTAGCTTTAAGCCTAATTTTTCAGTCAATTAAAACTGAATTTCATTTACAACCAAAACAATGTTGAATATCGGCTAAGCTAACTCTGTGATGTCAGTCTGAACTGTGGCAGCCGCTAACTTGACTTTAAGCGCTTTAATTTGTGTTTTCTCCGCATTTATATATATTTCTATGTATGTCTAACTGCGTCGCTCATGTTGCCGTCTGTCGCTGTGTGTTTCCGAAGCAGCCACGCCCTGCATCAAAGCCATCAGTCCGAGCGAGGGCTGGACAACCGGCGGCGCCACCGTCATCCTCATCGGAGACAACTTCTTCGACGGCCTGCAGGTCGTCTTCGGCACCATGCTGGTCTGGAGCGAGGTGGGTTCATTCTGTTTTTACAAGAGTTTCAAACGAGGTCTTGGTTTCTAAATAATGGATTCCCATTTGTTGGCCTCAGAGCGTCATCGTCATGTTTACCTGCTGAGTTTAGTCCCTTTAAGGACGGTCTTCAAAGGTTTCAAACTTCCTTGAAACGTATTTATTCGTATATTCATTATTCCAACCTCTAACATGAGTTTTTCATTTGTGACTGTCAGACAGCAGAAGACTGAATGAGAAAAGCAATATGTCTGTTTTTGTGTCTTTGTCTCTCCTTGTGGTCGCTTTGCTTTTCTTTTTGATTCATTTGCTTCTTTTTGTGTTTGTTTTGTGGCTCTTTGTGTTGTTCAGTCTCTCTGCAGCCATTTTTTCTGTCTTCGTTGTTATTTTCTCTCCCTTTCTGTCATATTTTTTGTCAGTTTGTGCTCATTTTGCGTAGCTTTGTGTTCATTTTGTGTCTTTATATAATTATTTTGAGAGTCTGTGTTTGTTATTTTCCATTATTTGTGTTTCTGTGGTCATTTTGTGGTCATTTTACATCACTTCTTGGTCATTTTTTGTTTGTTTAATGTCACTTTGTTGTATCTTGTGTCTTTTGTCGTGTCCCTTCTGGGTCATTTGATGTCTCTTTGTACCAGTTTGATTGCTTTTTGTGTTATTTTTGGCCATTTTTCGTGCCTGTGTTGGTATTTTCCATCTCTCTTTGTTTGTTTTGCGTCATTTCGCATCATGTTGTGGTCATTTTACGTTGCTCTGTGATAGTTTTTCATCCTTCTATGGGCATTTTTTTGTCTTTCTGTGGTGATTTTGAATAATTTGCATGACTTTATGGTTATTTTCCATCTGTTTTTGTTTATGTGGTGGTCATTCTGTGTCTCTTTGTGGTCATTTTACATCACTTTTCGTTCTTTTCTATGTTTTGTGCGTCTGTGTATAGTTTTGTGTCTTTTTCTGGCCATTGTTTGTGTCCGTGTGGGTATTTTCCATGTGTTTTTGACTATATTACTTCATTTTGCATCATTTTGTGTCTCTTTGTGGCCATTTCTAGCATCTTGGTTGACATTTTTTATTAATTTCTGGAGTTGCGTGTCTCTCTGTGGGTAATTTTGAACCTTTTGTGGTAATTTGACGTCACTTTTTGTTTCTTCTATGTTCTTTTATGTCACTTTGTGTTATTTTGAGTATTGTTTTTGTCGATATTGTGTCCCTTCTTGTCCTTTGCTGTGTCTTTGGTCATTGTTGCTCAGTACCGTTGTTGGAACAGAGCTCCTCGGCCTGACGAACTGTGGCCGCCCCATGAGCTGATCCAGGAAGTGAAGTGTCCTCCAGCTTACTGCCTAGTCAGCGGGTTTGGATGGTATTAAATTGAATCCACCCGGTACATCCCAGAATGGATCAGTGGAGCATGCAGAGGACCATCCACTCCTAGATGTTCCTGGAGACCCGACTGCAGAGGGTCCAGCATGTGTTCCAGCTGTGGTTGTAGAAGGTGGAGAAGCAGCTGCTCCAGTGTCTTCCTGATGTACGACGTGAGGACCACCGGTCTGTAGTCGTTGATCTCAGCCGTTCACCAAACCCTGGGCACCGGAACCAGACAGAACCGGATCAGAAGATGAGAGAGTGGCTGCAACAGATCTGGTGGGAGAGGAACTGGCTGCTGTGTCAAAGCTGTGGCGGAAGTAGTTGAGCTCGCTGGCCGTGGTTGTTCTTCTTGGAGGAGCCCCTGATGGTCCTCATTCCCCTCCACTCCTCTCTGGTGTCGTCGTTCTCCAGCTTCTTCTCCACATGCCTCTTGTAGTCCTTCTTCGCCTGCTTTAGCTCCCGTTGGACTCTCCGGAGCTTCTCTCTGTCTCCATCCCTGAAGGCCTCCTTGTTCTGGTTCAGGAGTGCCTTGATGTTGCTGGTGTTCCTACAGAAGTCCAAGTAGTCTGTAGAGCAGTCAACCACTGAGTCCAAGTCCGTGTCCATGTCTGTCTGTGGCTGCGGCAGTGCTTTCCAGTCAGAGGTTGGCCTGCCTCTGGTGACCATTTCCTGAGTGACCTGGTGGTTGCAGGTGGCCTCGTGGTCTAGGAGGGCTGGAGATGAACCAGGTTGTGATGGAAGAGCTGCAGCGCTGTAGGCCTCTCTGTGGTCATCGTACGTCTCCTCCTGGTTGATCTCCATTCCTGTTTTGGTCACTTTGTGTCTTTCTGGAACAGTTTTGTTCATTTCAGACGTCTTCTAGCTGAACTCTGAAGAGGTCATTTACAAAAACAGAAAACTCCATTTCTGTAGATTTTCAGAAAACTTATTTTTTTGTTGTTTGCTTGAGATGATATCACTCAGACTGGAGCTGAGTGGATCTGACTCAGTAGAAATGACAAGAATAGAGATAAGTGAAGTTTGATGGATGTTGTCTCAGGTAGACGATGGAGCAGTGGGTTTATGAAGGTTTGTGGAGATGCAGTGATCTGTTTCTGCGAATGAACTCTTCAGATATGACTCAGTCAGCATCACACATGGATCCTGGTCATGTTGGTTTATTACTGGACATTCCTATCAGATAAAGCTGCAGAAGAGATGTTTTTATGAACCGTTTCAGGCTCTCCGTTTGGTTTAAAAGGGTTTCAGGATTGTTGTGTGTGATGGAGCTCACAGTCGCTCCACATGAAACTCCTTTTTCTCTCCAACAAACACAAATGACAGCCGTGAGTTTATCAGGTGACTGATTCAGAAGCTTCTGAACGTAAACAGCTGCACCATCACAAACATCACCTTCTCCATCTTCCACACAAACAGCTGCGTCTGCAGCAGGTTCCTGAGAATATGTAGATGCAGAGGAGCTGCGCAGACGGAGCCATGAAATATTGAAGCAGGTCCAGGAGAGCAGAGCACCTGGAGGGAAGATGAACCTCCGTCGCATCTCACTTTGATCGTCAGGCGGCGAGCAGACGGACTGCAACACCCAGAATCCCTCTGAACGCTCACTGACCCAGATCCAGTGCTTCTACAGAGATCTGCTGATGGAAGAGAAAGAAAGATCCTCAAACTGTTCCTCAGCTTACAGACACTGAACCCTGATGAAGCTGCTCAGACAGGATGTCAGGCTGGCTGCTAAAGACAAACACGTATTAAACAAACGACGTGTGAAACTGTTAGTTATGGATTTATTTGCTTTTAAACGTAGTGAGAACGTCATAATCAGATTATTTCGCTACTTTGCATCTTTGTGGTGGTTTGGTTTTGCTTTTTGCTCTTTTTGTTCCTCGTTGTCGTTGGTTTGTGACTCGTTTTGTCTCTTTCGTGTTTTTGTGTCTCTTGTGGTCTTTTTGCATTTCCTTCTGTTTGTTTTTTCTCTTCTTGTTGTTTCTCTGTCTCTTTATTATTCAAACATGGAAATAAGCGACCAGGAGATGGAGACTGAAGTGCTGAATGTTGGTTTTTTTTTCTTTTGAAGACCAAAGTGGATGAAAATGAGAAAGACACGACAAACTAGATCAGCTCTTTAAGGCACGTTTGGTGACCAACGTGTTGATGTTTCTGTTTTAAAAGCTTCCCGTTGTCGTTCTTTGTGTCTTCAGCTGATCACTCCTCACGCCATCCGGGTCCAGACTCCGCCCCGCCACATCCCCGGGGTCGTGGAGGTCACGCTGTCCTACAAGTCCAAACAGTTCTGCAAAGGAGCGCCAGGGCGTTTCGTCTACACCGGTAAGACCCGCCTCGTGTTACCGCCAACAGAACCGAACCTGCAGCATCCGATGGGCTGACTGAATGTTGTTTACGTGCACTGACCAAACCGTCCTGCGTGGACGTGTTCATGACCTGGAGACCAACAGGAATGATGCATTTTTACCTAAAAATGTCCGATTTTTTCTTGAGTCCGATTCGGTTCTGAAGCACATTTAAAACAACTGAAATCATAAATCAGTAAAACAACAAACTCACTAATCTGAATAAAAACCCAACAGACTCATCAACACAGAGGATAGAAAGCTTCCTCAGACCATAATCGCCGTAATGCCACGACGGCCACATTTCAAACGTCTACATAAAAGCTCCAGATATTAAAATAAATAAATGTTCAGTGTCATTTACTGAACTCACTTAATTTGCTCTTTTTAAGCCTCTGTGGCTGTTTTTTTCTCTTTCTGGGGTCACGGGAACCTTTCTAGTCCGACTTATTATTCCTTGAAAGTGACTCAGACTAGAATAAAGTTTAATTGTGCTCGACCTCGCTGATGACAACCTTCATGGTGTCTGCGGCGCCGCATAAACGTCTTCAATTCATTTATTAATCAGCCTCAATCGTCCTGAAAATGAGCTCATCATCCTTAAATCCACCTTTCAGGTGTCTTAAAGATCCCACAGACAGAAGACGTTCTGTTCAGTTCTGATGACACAGTTTGGTCGTTTTATGACTTGTTTCTGTCGTTTTATAACCTGTTTGATAACTTTGGTAGAGATTCATCCGTCGTGGCTCTGTTGGCCTTCTGTTGTTGATTAAACACGTTTCTGGTGGTTTTTAGTTTTAACTGTTTTAAATTCTGAAGGAACCGTGTCGCCTGAAACGCCGACTTTTTGTTTGCGATGTATTTTAGATGCACTGTAAAGATAAAAGTAAAAATCTGACAGCAAGGGCGCCACAAAACGACGTCTGGAAGCTGTGATGATGACAGCAGATTGGATTTAAATGCAGTGAAAGTGTCTTTTTGTGGTAGCTATAGTTTAACAAAACCGGAATAATCTGTAAAATAACGCACAGAATACAGCACATATCTGTAAAACAATGTTTTAAGCTGTCAAACGGTCAAATGTTGTAAAAGATTTGATGAGTATTTGTAACAATGGCCGATTTTATTGTTTTTTTGTGGTTAGCGTGTAAATTAATCCTGTTTTTTTTCTGGGATTTTGCTCGTTATTGTCTGCAATGTCACAAAACATTTTAAAATCATAGTGAAGAATAATTTAAAAGACATTCCTGCACCTCACAGTTCCATCAAATCTTAATCTTTCTATTTTAGTTCTCTTCTAGTGTTTTAGTTTGGACTGTACATGATGAAGCTTTGTGGGGTTTTTTATTGCTGGGTGTCAGTTTGCTTTACTTTGGATCTGTCTGATTGTCGTTTTTTTCCACATTTCCTCTGATATGTTTGGTGTTTTTGGAAAGTTTAGCCTCTCCTGTGGAGTTTCTATCAAAGCTCTGAGGAGAAGATCTGGAAGCTGAAGGTTTCAGGATCGTCTTTGTTGTTGTCGGTAAACAGTCTCCTACAAGCCGACGGCGGCGTAAACATTCCCCCGGAGCTCCTCTTCCCTCGGCTCGCCCTTCACACTCTTTGTCAACGTCCGACCGCCTCCTATCAGCCTCCGGATCGCTGCTTTTACTGTCGCCGATTATTCCGTCAGAATATCCAGATGTCATTCAAAGTAGCAGAAAGGTCAGATGGACGGCTGTTTAGAGCGATAAGTAAATGTCAGGCGGGCGACTTGGCTCCTTTCTGTTTAACACCGGTTTATCGCCGCCTCCTTCGCCTTCGTCTTTGTTGGAAGCACCGCCTCCTCCTCCTCGTCTTCCTCCTCCGGCGTCACAATGGACGCGCCGCCGCCGCCTCCCTTTGCAATGCTAATCTGAGATCCCGTTTGCAGATAGGGCCGACAAGAGCAGCGGCGGCGTCGCCTTTCTGCCGTGAATAGAGCCGCCGGTTATCTGGGCCGCGGTAGAGGATGTCCAGGAGTCGCAGCAGCTCCAGTAAAGAGCTTCCACAGCAGAACACCTGGAAACATCTGGCCAACATCTGGATAAAAGCTGCAAGTTGTCCTGAT